GAAATCCAATCACATCATTGTGGAGGATCGCGCAAGCAAATTACATTACATACTGGTGTTTTGTATATAAAACCACAAGAAGCGAACAAAGCACAAGTTAGTTTATTTTGCAGCGTGTCACCAAATAATTCTCACAATCCTGCAGCCATTTGGGCACATCTTTACACAAAAATATTTGAGGAGTATAGCTTTAATCGCATCACCTGGAACTTTTTTGAAGCAGGGCACGGGAAGGGCGCGGCTGATGGTGTCGGTGGCTACGTTCAACGAACAGCAGACCAAGAAGTTGCTTCTCTCTTAGACATCCATAATGCGGATGTCTGCGGATTTCTCGCTTTAAAATACTGCAGCAAAATTCAGTTGTATTTCATAACCGATGCCGATATTGAAAAAGTGGAGCAGACCGTTCCAAAGGACATTGTGCCCCTTCGCGGTACGATGCAGGTACATCAAGAGTTATCGGAAACTGCTGGTAAATTATACGTTGCTTTTGTCAAAGGGGTCTTTACGACTGCTTGTCACCTAAAACATATCAGCCAATTCCTATTTCATCCAGCACTATCAGCCAAATGTCTGAAGGAAATGACGCGAACGATACTGTTAATAATAAAGGTTCTGAAAGAAATTCGCTTGAATTTATGAACGAAAATGAAGTATTCTCTGATATATCTAACATCGTGACTAACCCCAGAAAGAGTTATTACGATATGGTTTATTCTCCAACTTCTAGCTCAGATGATGATGAGTATCTTTCAAATCTTCAACTTGAAAAAGAAAAAGAAGCTTAAGTTTCTAATTCAGTTGATAAAAAATTAATTGAAAAAGAAAATTTACACCCACCATAAATATCTGTCGGTGTTTACATACTACATAGTTAAAGTTTTATCCAACAAAAAAACATATTCTTATCTGGGTGTTACCCAAAGGACGACGAAGGGGACATCAAGATTATGTTTTTAAAATCAATTGACGATTCAGGAAAGAAGTTTAAACTTATAGAAAAGGATGTTTCATATGAACCATATGAAAATATTACAGAAATTGTACCAAATCCTAAAATAACAAAGAAGGGTAAACGTGAATTTTACGAATTTGATGTGCCATTAAATGTATTTGAGAAATGAGACTGAACAGACAAGATTAATGTATATTGTTTATGATTATTAATTTGAGAGGTTCTGATTTTTTTATTCACAGAGAAGTTTTGTTTGATTTAATATGTTTTTTTTTGGTTTTTATTCTGTTTTTATTAGTTTAAGGCAAATAAAAATATCATGATGGGAAAAGTTTACCACTATGTTACTCATCAAACTACTGCGTTACTTTTTTGTCACTTATTTTTGGAAGACGTTAATGGGTATATTACTAAACCTACTTTTAAAGATATTCAACTTTTATTGGTTTTTTGATTATTTGAAGTATTTGAATTGACTCCATAAATTGTATGCTTAAACTGCTATTATTTTCTCATATTTTGAAAAATTAAAACTGCTTAAATCAAAATTAGGTAACAAAGTGGTAAACTTAACCGTAAAGTAAGATAAAAGACTGAGATTTTGCATGATTTAATGTTATATGATTAAAGGTCTCCTATTTTATGTTCATGTAATAGGTTTATGTTTGAGATAAATGCGGTTACTAACAATAAAACTTAATTTTGTTAGAAAGTAACGTAGTTGTTATTTTTCTGTACCCCGCCTAATATAACAATCAAATAAAATCAGAAATAATTAAAAATCATCTCTGCAAATAGCTGTAATATATACTTTAAATAATAATCTTGCTAACACAGTATGACATATCAACAAAAGATAACATATTTAAAAAATATTTTTGTTGTGAAATCTATTCAGCATAGGTCCCAAAATAAAATAATGGCCCATAAGCTTCACTCCTTACTCAGGGAGAGTCATAATGGTTCAGCCGAAGACAAACTTACAAAAAGTTAACTTAATTCAAGTATACACACCAACAGCGGATAAGGATGAAGAGGCGATAGAACATTTTTACAAGGAGTTAGACACAATTTTAAGATCTATTACAAAAGAAGATATAATAGTAATGGGGCTAAATTATTAGCAATTAATGCTAAAGTCGCCAGAGGAAAAGTTGACCAATATGTTGGGGAATTTGAACTAGGTGACAGAAACGAAAGAGGGGATAGACTTGTGGATTTTTGTCAAAATGGACATTTTGCAATACTGAACACAATGTTCCAACTACCCGGCAGAAGATTATACACTTGAAAAATCTCCTGCAGATAACAAAGACCGAATAGTCAGAAATCAAATAGACTATCTATTAGTCAAAAACTGAATTAAAACATACCTCGGAGCATTTTAACTCAGACTATAACCTGCTGATAGCTAGAATGCACGTGAAACTCAAAAAGATTGTAATACATAAAAATAAACCAAAGTTTGATTATACAAAGTTAAGAAAAAGAGAAATACATCAAAAAGTGATCCAACAAGTCAACTCAAATCTAACAGAAGTAGAAGAAGAAATCTTAACATCAGAAGATATCAATGAAAAGTGGAGCAATATCAGAAGGCATTACTAAAGGCTGCAGAAGAAAATTTAAAGACTGAAAAGAAAAATAAAAAACAGAAGTGGATGACGTCAGAAATTCTACATTAATAGAAGAGAGGAGAAAAGCCAAAGGGAAAAATGAGCCAAAATATCAAGAACTACAAAGTAGAATTAAAGTAGACACAAAAAAGGCTAAGGAAAAGTGGTTAACAAATCAATGCATAGAAATAGAAGAGTATGAGAGAAAATACGACAGCGTTAATATGCATAAAAAAAGAACTAACAAATACCAAGAAGCGAGCACACTATGGCATACTCAAAGATGATATTGGTAAACTCATCACAGACATCAAAGATAAACGATTTTGGCAAGAATACATAATGAAACTATTCGACGATGATAAGAATGATACAAGAAGAACCACAGGAACAAACAAGACCGAAAATAATAATGTGCGAATTAGAACAGGCAATTAGAAATGCAAAGACCACAAAATCAGTAGGCCCAGATTAGATACCCACTGAGCTAATTTAATGCATTGACGAAGAAACACTGAACGTGTTTTAGATCACTAGAAACACTTTAGATCTGTTCAACAATGTATATACAATAGGAGTAATACCCGAAGATTGGTTGCTGTCCACGTTTGTAACATTACCAAAGTCAGTACATGCGACAGAATGCTCACAGTACAGAACAATTTCCTTCAGTAGCCACACACTTTCGATATTTCTCAAAATAATACATGGAAGACTATACAAAAAAATGGAAGAAAATATAGATGACAGCCAATTTGGATTCAGAGGAGGACTAGGAACGAGAGAGGCTCTGTTCGCTTTTAATGTTCTCACGCAAAGACCTCTAGATATGAACGAGGATCTCTATGTCTGCTTTATAGATTATCAAAAGGCTTTTGATAGAGTACAATATCAGAAACTTGTAAAACTGCTGAAAGAAAAGAATGTGGATAGTCGAGATATACGAGTTATTGTCAATCTGTACTGGAATCAAAAAGCAAAGGTTAGAATCGAAAATGTCGATACAGAAACTATAGAAATCAAAAGAGTTGTTAGACAGGGTTGCGTGCTGTCCCCATTGTTATTTAATCTGTACAGCGAACCTATTTTTAAGGAAGCAATACCAGAGGAACAACAGGGTATATCAATAAACGGAAAAATCTTGACCAACATAAGATTTTGACACCGACACGACAGACGACACCGCCATTTTTGCAGAGAGTCTAGAAGCACTGCAACGCTTAGTAAATAGATTACATCAAGTCAGTATAAAATATGGACTACAAATAAACATTAAGAAAACCAAGTGCATGATTATTTCTAAGCAATGTACAGTAGGAAGGCTGGATATCGAGGGAAAACAAGTAGAAAGTGTGAATAACTACAAATATCTGGGAATCTGAGTATATCTACCAAAACAATGCAATAAAAGTAATTGTAGAAGAAGAACAAACTTACCCTATTGAAGCTGGCAATGGGATAAGACAGGGAATTTCCCTGAGTCATCTATTGTTCAACCTGATTATTGATGAGATGTTAAAAAAAGTAAGAACTAAAAAAGGATACCAAATGGGAGAAAAACAGCTTAAAATAATCTGCTATGCAGACGACGCAATACTACTCTCTCAATGAAAAAATATAATAAAATTGAGTTGAATTAAATTAAATTGAATAAAATGATGTAATAAATGATAATAAAAATAAAGTAATTTAACATAAATACAAGATAATAATGACACTGAAGAAAATAGAAAATTATAGTGAATAAAATATAAATTATGATTACAATAAGATAAAATATAATAAAATCAAATGAAATGAAATAAAATTAAAATATAATAAAATTGAGTTTAATTAAATTGAAATAAACTGAAACAGATTGAATTAAATTAAATTAAACTGAATTAAATTACATTCAATTAAATTGACCCTTATAGATTACCATCAAAGTGTATGGTGAAACAACTATAATTTACTGAATGTCATTATTATTATTTTTTTCTCTACTGAAAAAGATTAACATAAGTTGAAATGTTCTTAACGTACCGTTCAAAGTATCGAGATCACCATTGAAATGTTAAAAAGATCTACCAGTGTATCAAGTGTATATATTTTTTCTTGTATGTCTAGAAATTGAATAATCAAAGTATGTAATCAATGTATGTATGACCAAGGTAAATTATTAATTTAGAATAACTTTTCATAACAATACAAACTTTTGTAATATAAAGAAATATATTGGTATAACAACTGTAGAGTCGAGTGATATTTATTTTAATACTGACAAAGATGAGATCTCTAAATATACAGTATAATTGATGATCATATACATTATAAAATAATTATGTATATTACTTCATGTACACAAACATTTAACTTTTGAATTAAATATCTTGAAAATTGACATTGATCTATAACTATGTAATTTAATAGCATGTACTAATACTCACTTTAACTGTAGTCTTAATTGACTGTCATTTTCATGGGTTTTAGAAACAGCGACCAGTATCAATGGTTTTTTTATTAAAAAGACAAAACGGGTATCACCAGTATGTATGCTTTGTATACTATCATCTGAAGACTGAATAAAGCTTACTAGAGTCTGCATAACTCCAAATAACCAGGCTAATTTATCTTCATTTCCATACCTAAAATTGTTTGTTAAGGAAAATTTTAAAAGCCTAAATAAAATGTATTCAAATTTTAATGAAATTAAAATAATCACTTTCAATTTTACTTCCATTATCAAGAGTTCTAAAAACTATAATGAACTTGCTTAAAATGATTGTAAAATTCAGTTCAGATACCACTATTTTTTTTGTTGCACTTAACAGCCTCTAAAAGTTCAATATTATGTAAGTACATAATTGATCAACTATTTAACATTCCCAATACTGGCATACGGATGTAAATCTTGGACCCTACAAGTGGATAGAAAATAGATGCCACTGAAATGTTCTGTTGGAGAAGAATGTTATGAATTATGTGGATCGAGCATAGAACAAATAATTCAGTTCTAAATGAGTTAAAAGGCAGCAAAAAGCTATCCAGCAAAACTCATCTGCAACATCTAAAATACTTTGGACATTTTATGAGGGCAGACACCCAAAACATGGAAAGACTTGGAGTAGAAAGAAAGATTATCCAAGTAAAAGTAGAAGGCCAAATATCATGAACAAGATCCCCAACAAGACTGGTCGACCAAATTTCAGGAATATACAAAACACTATAACACAAGGGCTATTAAAGAGAGAGGACTTAAGGTTAGCAGGTTGAAAACAGAGTATATGTAGTTGGGAGGAACAGAAATGGTTGGGGACATCGAATTACTTGGAGAAAAACTAGGATGAATAGGAGAATTTAAATACTGTGGCTCTTTATTCTTCTTCGTCTAGTGCCCATCCATTTTCGATGTTGGCGACCATCATGGCAATCTGTATTTTGCAAACTGTGGCTCTGAAAAGATTTAGCGCACCTAGAATTGTCCTCTGGGGTTGGTTGGGCACCGAAATTTTTTTATGCTACCTCTACCATTTTAAGTCCTTAAAATTTGTAAATAACAGTGTTGGAATAGGGTCCTGGAGGAGGAGGGGTTTGACCCCCCCCACCCTGGGTGCGCCACTGGGATAATCTGTGATAAAGGATTATCAAATGTGGCCTATAAAAAATATTTAGGAAAAGAACATGGAGGTAACTGAAATGAAAATGTTAAAGAAGAATGGTCAGGATCAGGAATGACATGATTAGGGTAGGAGGTGGGGTGACTATAGTCTCAAAAATAATTCCAGAATAAAGTCTTTAATGAAATGAAATCGTAGGCTTCCACGGCGGTATAACGCGTCGAGAGGCCCTGTCCTGGCATTTGGTTTTCACCTCTGGCTGCATTGAGTAGTTGAGTTACTGTGACCAAACGCCCATCTTGGTAGTTAGTATTCGCCTCTGGTTGCGTTGAGTAACTGAGTTACCATTGCTAACTACCCATCTTCCTGTCTTCTTTTCCTTTTTCTTTGTTCTCCTGAAGAAGCTACATACAATTGTAGCGAAACGTCGAGATGAACCCACTTTTGGGTCACTCACAAATGACACAGTCCAAACCCGGAAGATGAATAAACTATAAAGTCTTTAATGGTTTGGTAATTTCAGACAGAAATGAAAACTGACTGGGACAAAGGATAGAGCTATTATAGAGCTATCTATATATATATATATATATATATATATATATATATATATATATATATATAATACATATATATATATATATATATATATATATATATAAATATAAATATATATATATATATATATATATATATATATATATATACATATATATATATATATATATATATATAAATATATATATATATATATATATATATATATATATATATATATATATATATATATATATATATATATATGTATAATTATTATAAAGGTGCTCCCATTCCAGATTTTAAAGACTGTGTCAGACACATTGACCCTGTAAACCTAATTCAAGTTGACACTATATCAGTGTTTGATGAATTAAGTAAACTTCCAAACAAATTCTCCTCAGGTCCTGATGGAGTCCCACCGGTATTATTAAAGCACTGTCTATGCTCACTTACTATTCCCCTAAAATATCTTTATAACTTATCTCTTATGACTGGTGAGTTCCCTCCTTGCTGGAAGAACAGTTATATTGTACCCATTTTTAAGTCAGGTAAAAGAGAGGATATTGAAAAATACAGAGGAATTTGTATACAGTCAGCAATCCCAAAACTTCTCGACAAACTAGTGACTTCTCACTTATCAAAACTAACAGACAATATAATAATACCCCAACAGCATGGCTTTCAAAGGGGGAGGAGCACAGTGTCAAACTTGTTGGTCTACCAAGATGATATATTGGGTGCCTTTGAGAGGAAGTACCAGGTGGACAGCATCTATACTGACTTCTCAAAGGCATTTGATAAAGTAAATCATCGTTATTTAATCAGTAAATTAGGAGCCATTGGTATAGCTGGCAAATGGCTTGATTGGTATGATAGTTTTCTTGTGGGTAACACCCAGAGCATTAAGATAAATGGTGTGTTGTCTCAATCTGTTGACGTCCTCTCTGGAGTACCACAAGGGTCACATTGTGGTCCCCTACTTTTTGTCCTCTTTATTAATGACGTTGAAAAAGTCATTAAGAATTCAAAATTTCTGAACTTTGCTGATGATAAAAAAATTTATAAAGTCATTACTTGTCAGTATGATCAAATTCAGTTACAAGAGGATCTCAGCAGATTTAGCGATTGGTGCAAACTAAATGAATTAAAATTGAACATTGATAAGTGTTGTGTTATTACTTTTCACAGAAAGCAAACAATTTTAAATTACGATTATAGCATTGATAACACTCAGCTGTCAAGGCAGGACTGTGTTAAGGATTTAGGTGTTTATTTTGATTGTAAATTAACATTTCGTAATCATCTAGAGGTCACAGTAAACATTGCATTTAAACAATTAGGGTTTATAACTAGAAACACTTCTCAATTTTCATGTTTTGTTTTACCAATTCTTTTTAATAGTCTCATTCGTTCCAGACTAGAATATGCAATAGTTGTATGGGGACCTTACTATCAAACCTCTATTGACAAGCTTGATCGTGTTCAGCATAAATTTTGTAAACACTATCATTACCGTAGTGCTTTTCATGACCTTTCTGTCCCATACAGTTATAGTATGATAGCTAATCACTTAAAAATGGTTTCCATTAATCAGCGAAAAGATTATTTATGCCTAATATTCCTTTACAAAATTGTTAATAATTTGATAAATTGCCCTGAACTTTTAAATCGATTAGGTCTTAACACTCTTCATGGAACTAGACATACTTCATTGTTTCATCTGCCATTTCATCAATTTAATTATGAATTCTTCAAGCCTCTTACTAATATGTTGAGACTATATAATAGGTACCAAAGTGATCTGGACTTATTTTTCCAGTCCTTAGAACAATTTAAAAATGTGATAAAGAGACTGCTATTTGTGTAATATTAGTTTGTATTGAAGTTAATTATTAGTTTTTGATATTAGTTTGTATTCAAGTTAATTATTAATTTTGTTAAACTTTACTATTATTTTCCAATGTTGTGCTTACTTTGTAAAATTTTATATATATATGTTGTTCCAATGTAAAAATGGTATATCCGTTAATAAATAAATAAATAAATATATAGAGATATTTACTTAGAGGACTAAAGAGAGGTAGAGAAAAACTGAGAAGATGGAAGGGATGTGTGGTAGAGGACTTGAGAGAAAGGTTTAGGTAAAGAAGACACAATGAACAGAAATAAGTGGCAAAGCAAGGAGCAGCGACCTGTGGAAGAACAAGAAAAATTGTATGTTGTCGAATATTGTTGTTTCCTCCTATAAAAGCCATATAACCTTGCAGTTGGCGGAGGCTTAAGGGAGCTCCCACCCTTCAGCAGAAAGGCTAAATGGTATCCTTGTAGGAACAGGGCGAAACCCCATTGTACATATCCTTACTCATTTATGCAGGGCTTTGCAGGAGAGGACCACCCATTCCCTAGCTACTTTTGGGTGTTAAATGTACATGAAACAAAACAAAAAAGAATCCAGAAGAAGAGAGAGCCGGGGAACACTGACAGACTCTTAACAAACAAAGAGGAGGGGAGAACCAGTAACTAACTCCTCGGCTTCAACACTTGGGGAGATGAAACCCATTGATGCTAAGTATAAACAAAAAGCAGAGGGAAGCCATGCCTCTGCACTATTATGTGAGAGGCATAACAAAATTAAACTTACTACAAAAAGACTTTCAGGAGCTCAAAGGAGGAAGCTGACCAAAGAGAGGGAATGACAGAAGGACTTACATACATGATCTGTACAAACTTCTACAGGGTACAAAAATTCTATTCTTTGTTTCAAGTTAAGAAAATAACATTACGCTTATGGAGATCAGTGTTGCCAAAACTCTCAGACACTCTCTTTTGCACAGATGTCCAAGATATTCCCTTTGCTTAATTTTTGAATTTTCATTTTCAATTAACATTTAACTGTAAAGTCAGAATAACTACTTAATAAAAGCCTTATTATAATTATGTAGTCAGAGAACGACATAAAATAGCTGACATATGCACATCATATTATTTTAAGTTGCAATTAGTAATTAGATATACGCATTCCAAGCCGTCAATATTTTCTACTGATTTCTATGATTCATGGCATATAGTATTCTCACCGAAAAACAAATAAACTGTTGTTACTATAATTAAAATAAGATAAAATAAAATTATCTTTTGTAAATACTATTTATCTAATTAAAATCATTTTTCCTACTTTTCATCTCTTGTTTCGAATGGACACTTTTGGTCAATTACGTTAAAAAATTTAATTTAATTCATGTTTGTGGAAACGAAAATACAAATTATACAACCCTAAATTGTGCTTGTGTGTGTCGTGGCAACGCCGCGTTGCTATCGTCCATAAGAAATACATGGTCCTATCTCCGCAATGTTATTTTCTAAACGTGAAACGTAGTATAGACTAGAACAGAATATGAAATTTAAGAATATTCTACTTATGACATATACAGCAGCATTCTACTTAATAACAGTTTGGATCACTCATATCAAATCAGAGGCAATATGAGAAACAACATACAAAATAACATAAGAAACAATATACACAATTACACTGGTATTTATGATGCCAAGCTTCTGTACTGAAGTTGTATTACTTTTTCTCTATAGTAAAATGATGAGGCGAGCATCACAATACAGCACTATAGAAATAGAGCTATAAAATCAGTTTAATAGGAAAGATGTGCTGTAAACAGTTGAAAGAGTCCTGTATACAACATGTAAACTTTTTCAATTTCATTACAATCTATAACAAGGATATTAACTAACAGCGGTTTTATGTCATTTTTAAATATTATCTTTGAAGCGAAAATTTAAATAGTAAATAAATATAATAAAATTACTTTACTTAATTTTAAAAATATTTAAAATTTAAAAATACAGTATGAAGCTTCACCTAGCCTACACTACCATTTTTTTTTTTATTAAAATACGATTGAATTTTATATTATACCTTGAATATATAGGCTTTCCTGCCATACTCAGAACAAATACATGTTTATCTTTATTAATCCAATCTTTGTTCAGCTCAAAATCTTCTTCACTGGTTAAAGTTTCATTATCATTGCTTGATTCATCTAAATTTTCATTATTAGTGTTTTCGTTAGATTCTTCATCTTGGTTTGATTGACTTATACATTTAATTTCTTCTAGACTAGAGCTCATTTGATCAAAATGATCTAAGGTATCAGTTGTTACTAGAATACTTTCGGGCGCTGCCCCCGGCTCAATTTCAACAGTCGACATATTGCACTTTAATAGTTGCCAGTAGTGTTTTCTTTGTTAAATATTTAAACAAATAACTTGCGATTAAGGTTTTACATGATTTTATTGCTAATAACTTTTTGTCTGAACATAACCTTAAACAACTGTCACTGTCACGATGACAGTAAGTGACAGTGACAGTAAGTACAAGTAAGTTTTCGAGGGCTGTAACCAATGACGTATAATATATAGACTCGGTGAACGCTTTAAAAAGTGTCCAAAACATGAATACCTTTGTTATTGTTTATTGTTTTGATACGAAGATACACGAAGTTCATGATTTCTTACGAAGCATCACGAAGTTGATCTTGTGTTTGAAAACATCATGGACGTATGAAAGCATTTTCTTCATTTTGTGTGACAAGCAAATTTTATTTTAAATTGTTGAGAGTTATTTACTTACTATTTTAGTAAAATGCCATACTATTTTATCAAAATAATTATTTCTCTTATAGATGGGACAAAAAGAAATCATAAATATTCAGTGGCGGCTTTTCTTTATGTGCTGCTGAGCTGCAGAACTACCAAACAACCATAGCAAATCTTAATTATTAAAGAATAATTAATATAGTTTTATTTCAAATCTGCCATATTATCATATTAAACATAAACTGTTAATAATAATTCACCAACAACGATGATTAATATTATTTTTTTTACGTATTTACTCCTCTAGTGAAACCGTATAATTTTTTTACGTATTTGGTGCTCCAGTGAAGCAATCTTTTTACGTATTTGCTGCTCCAGTGAAGCCGCGTCGATAACAACCGAAACACTGGCAGCGGTAAAATGCATTTATTAGGCAAACGGCGATCTTAGCCGATGTGCTTCGGCAATCGGCTGATTAACGGCCTCGGAAATGTGTTTGCGAGCTGCAATTCACGACAGTTATTCGTGACCGTTGCATCTGTGCCGTGTTTAGAAATTCTTAGGTTACAATTTTGTTTAATTTGTTTTGTTCGAGCGTGTTTAAAACAATGGAGTTTCAATTTAAATTAGGTGTAAATAAATTTCAAAAACTTCACTATCAACAACAGTTGATTATAAAAGAACGTGGCCGTCCTATGCCTGATCTTAATATTGAAGTGTCCGGTAAAAGCCGTGGAAAAACATATACGCGTAAATTTAATAAAGACATGTATCTACGAAATCAGTGGATTTGTGGATGTTCCGAAAAAAATGCTTTTTTCTGTTTTCCGTGTGCATTATTCGGCGCAGATAAAGAGGAAAAATTGTGGCGCGAGACAGGAGTGCGGGATCTAGTGCATTTAAGTGAAAAAATAAAGAAGCATGAAAACACGCAAACTCATATGAACAATGAAATGCGATTTGCATTATTTGGGAAACTTAATATACAGGCCCAACTTGACTCTGCTTATTGGATAAATATACAAAAACACAATGAAGAGGTGACGAAAAACAGGTATGTTTTGTCAAAAATAATTGACTGTATAAAATTCTGTGGGGCTTTTGAGCTCGCCTTACGAGGACACGATGAATCTGAAACATCAGATAACCCTGGAATTTTTCGTGGTTTAGTGAATTTTTCTGCTGAACTTGATAAAACACTTAGTGAACACCTTACAAATGCGACAATTTTCAAAGGTACCTCAAAAACAATACAAAATGATATTTTGGATTGCATGCTAGAAGTATACGCTGAGGAGATTTTAAACGAAATCAACGAAGCCCCATTTTTAGCAGTGATAGCTGATGAGACAACGGATGTTTCTATGAAATTTCAAATGGTCATTGTTTTTCGTTATGTAAAAAACGGTGCTCCAGTTGAAAGGTTTTGGACTTTTTTGCTTCCAGAAAAACATGATGCTGAAACCTTAGCTAACACAATTTTGAATGTTTTAGACCCAATATTAAAGAATAACAAAAATAAGCTCATTGCACAAAGTTATGACGGAGCAGCTGTTATGAGTGGGATACATGGCGGAGTGCAAACAATAATTAAGAGAAAATATGAAACTGCTCATTTTGTGCACTGTTACGCCCATCAATTGAATCTAATAATGTCAAGAGCATGTTCTATTAATTCCCAAGTACGCGTATTTTTTGGAGATTTACATGATATACCTGGATTTTTTAGTCATTCACCTCAAAGAATAGCTGTCTTAAATCAAATAGTTGGAAAAAATATTCCTCGTTCAATCCCTACACGCTGGAATTTCAATATTCGTACAGTAAATGTCGTTTACGAATATAGAGACTTTATTATTGAGTGTATGGAGCAACTAGAAGAAGAGTCAAATGCTATTACTTCCAAGGAAGCAAGAGGACTTAGACGTATTCTGGAAGATCAAAATTTTACTTTCTGGCTGACTGTTTTTCATTATATTATGCCACATGTTGACGTTTTGTACAATAATCTTCAAAAAAAGAACATGGACCCAACCGAAGCACAGAAAGCTATACATGTTTTTGAGCAAAGTATTAACAATGTCCGAAATAAAATAGACCCTATCATACATCAAGCTTCAAATTTAAATGCGGCGCCTAGTGTCCAAAAAAGGAAACGCCCAAATAACAGCCAACAGGATCACCGTATTGCCTGTCTAGAAGTTTGTGATGTTATTATAAACAATGCAAAAGAACGGTTTGCATATACAAATCATCTAGTTGCCGCAACACTTTTATCTTCAGAACATTTCGAAAAATATAATAATAAGTTTCCTGAAAATGAATTGGATTTAACTTGTACAGCTTATAACTTCTTTGATAAAAACCGTTTGCGAACAGAACTGTCAGTTTTGTATTCCAATATCGAGTGTAGAACATTAAAAGGTGCAGTGCCTTTACTAAAATTTATAATTTCTAATAATTTAGAGGACACATTAACAGAAACCAAAAAGTTGATACAAATTCTGGTGACTACGCCAATGACCACAGCAGAAGCTGAACGTAGTTTTTCAACTTTAAAACGGATCAAAACATTTTTAAGAAATTCAATGTGCGAAGACAGATTAACAGTCCTTTCCACACTCTCGATAGAAAAAAAGTTCATCGCTTCAATACCGAACTTTAACGATAAAGTAATCGAAAAGTTTGCGACAAAAAAGGACCGGCGTATTAATTTCCAATTTAGAAAAATGCAATAAATGTAAGTTAATCAGATTTTTATAGCATGTCGTTATTAGTTACTATTAATTAGTATTAAAGCTAATTTTATTGTTTTTGTTTTCGTATGTTATTCTATTTCTATTATTTTATATTGACCGTGGTTCATGCAGCACACCCTATAGCAGATGTCACGAGCCGCCACTGTAAATATTTAATTTTAATTAAAAAAATAATTATTGTCATTAAAATATAAATGAACACGCCGCTGTTCTAATAAACATACCTTCAACCTTGAGCCGAGATCTTTCGGACACTCGATTCTATAGCGAGAATAGGGGACTGCGTAGTCTATATATTATACGTCATTGGCTGTAACAATGACGTATGCAAGGCACGTTAAAATTAACTATTCCGATGTTTTGGGTTGTTCGGTGGTTTTGGCAACGCTCGGGCACAGGCTTGGGATCATCGAGCAATGATGCTTGGGATTCTAACGTCGTAAATCTTGAATGACGTAAAACTACTAAAAATGTAAAAATTAATGACAGTAAAGTGAAGTCACCTGTCACGGCTGTCACACACACGCACGTCGCACAACACACAGTCATGAGCCATGGTACAATAAACTCTCTGTGAATTTTATTGTACCATGGTCATGAGCAATGACGTATACGTCATGAGTCACCAGCAGAGGTCACCAGTCACAGCCACAGCTCAGCTGAGCTGAGTTAGTAAAATTTATTTAGTGATATATTCTTTATCTATGATTTAGTGATTCTTTGGTCTAAACATAAAACCAATAAAACTAAAATTGGCAAATCAAATTTAATAATATGGAAGTAAAACAAGAATGTAGTGAGAAAACTTGTAAAATAGAAACAGACACTTTTGATAGTCCCTTGGATACCTTCAAAATTGAAATTAAGGAAGAACCCAAGAAAGAAAGTGCATATGAGGCATTTTATCCTTTAGACGTAGAACAAGATGAATATAAATGTACACTATTTGAAGAAGAGCAAACAACCAATGAAGAAAGTAAGTAAACAACATTAATTCTTGCAATAATATGCTAAAAAATTATATTTTGGGGAAGTTCATTATTACTCAAGTTAAAGGTTTTATAGTACATATACAAGTTTTTGTAGTTAATTTTAAATGTTTAATGAATCAATTAATTATAGTGATTGAACGTGTAGCTTATGTTATAAAGTATATTGTTCAACAAACAACAAACTATATTGATGTTATCATTTTTGCATAGTATTAATGGATTTATTGGCATAATGTAGAGAGTTCTGAAATAATGACAATGTAATGTTGTTTCAAAAATATAAATTATTCCATAATTCAGATCTAGTACTAGTGGAGCGATAAGGTACTGACAACTTCTAAGGACCTGAAATTTATATCAATGAATTATGCTTAATGATTATTATCAAATTATTTTTATTGGGTGGTCATTATTTTTTATGTGATTTCCATTTAAAATAGATCTTGTTTTTAAAAGCCACCACCATTACAACCCATGAAATAACAAGCAATAATAACCCTTACATTTGGCTATGCTCAAAGGGTTGCCAGGCCAGTTTTGATTTATTCAGTAGATTTGCTGTCAAAAGATCAGTAGATTGGGATTATTGGATTATGGAAATAATGAAAACTTGAGCACTGATATAAGGATAATTTTTGAACATGATTTTATCATTATAGATTTTTCTGTAGAGCTCTATATTGTTCCAGTAGATGGAAGTTTAAATAAGTAGATTACTGAAAAATCACTAGACCTGGTAACACTAGGTAAAGTAATTTAACCAGTGTTGCCATATTTATACAAAATATGTTTTAAGATTTTATTCTTGCCCACTTTTAACAAAAAATTACTGCCTTGTTAGCAGGTTTAGGTTAGATTTAGCTAGGTTAGGTTTGCTTAAGTTTATCATACAACCTTCTGCATACAAAGGTCTCCTTTAATTTCTTCTAGTTCTAACAGTCTTGAGCTTTCTGCAGCCAATTCTCAGCGATTGTTTTGATGTCATCTGCCTATCATGTAGGTGGTCTACCTCTACTTCTTCTGTCTGATTCTGGTCTCCACACTAATTTTTAAACCTCCTGTCATTTCACTGGCATTGTATATTACATTTTTCTCTATAGTGGAATGCTGAAACGATCATCACGGAACTAGCACCACAGGATGCAGTTGTCACAAGTAGTGCCATCACAGATCACCTACCTCCTAGATGTTCCACGACAATGCTTTAGTTGGATATGAAATTCAGCGCTCCATAAGATTCGTATCGGAACTAATTCAACCGGGAAATTACGCGGGAATTTCAAATTTTAATTTTGGTGGGAAAATTTAAATAAAGCTTAAAATATTTAAATATAATTTAATATATTTGAAAAAAAAATGCATTTGACATTTTTAAATTCAAATATACACAATACCATGTAGGAAAAAATAAAACAAAATGTAATTTATTTATTTAACACTTGTAAAACAACTTTGTAATTTAGAATAGAATAAAAATATGCTATTACCACTGAAAATTGTACAATTTTATGGACAAAGCTTACAAAAAGTCAGAAAAATAGCAATTTAAAATTTACTGAAATTACATAAATCGTCAATATCACAAAATAAAAGATAATAAAATACACAATGTATTCTAAAATTTAAATAAATTGCTTAATAAATCCTTACGAACTAATACATTTAAGTTTCAGCATGTGATACTGAAATATATATTTATACAAATAGTTTAGTTACTTGTACATAGCACTATTCGTTAAGAAACTCTTCTACTGAATAATATGATCACCATACAAATGGATTCACCATACAAATGTAAGCTAGGATTTGCATTTTTATACAATTTATGACTCCATCAAGAAACAAACTTATCTTCAAAGTGTACTGCAGACTCATTTTGTTTTAAAAACTGTAGTAGCATTCATCATATCTAAATTAGGATTATTTGTAACACTAAGCCACTTCCTAAATCGTGTAATGTCTTTATCAAGGCTTTGGGAAGGCATGTCTAATTAATGACGAATTGCTACATTGTAGGATACAACATTTATTGTGAAGAACCATTTAACTAATTATTATTAATCTGCAAAATACTGTTTGAACACCACCAGGAACATTTAAAACACATATCACTGAGGTAGGGGATTTGTAATTTACAATTTAACAAAATCAAAATATAGACGCTAATATGACAATTGGCGATTGACAATTCAAGAGTAGTAAATGAATGTGACGAGCCCCTATTCCATGGCACTCACAGACCACTAATAACTAGACGTTTCACATAGGTAGCTCAAGGTCAAACCAAACTTAATGTCAGTTGTAGTACCGATACGAATCTTCAGATGTCGCTTTACTCTGTCTTTACCTTTACTCTACAGTTTAGGTTTAGAACACAACTAAGAATTATAATTATTATTATAATTATTATAATTCTTAGTTGTGTTCTAAACCTAAACTGTAGAGTAAAGGTAAAGACAGAGTAAAGCGACATCTGAAGATTCGTATCGGTACTACAACTGACATTAAGTTTGGTTTGACCTTGAGCTACCTATGTGAAACGTCTAGTTATTAGTGGTCTGTGAGTGCCATGGAATAGGGGCTCGTCACATTCATTTACTACTCTTGATCAATTCCTTTCTAGTCATCATAGTCTCTAAGCAGGTTTAAATTAAAACTACATGAAAAATAACTAACAAAATACAAAACATAAAATATATGAAATAACATTTTTACAAGTAAAATATGAAGCTACTGCAGTTTGTCCTCAAAATATTCATTTATACAATAATAGGCTTTTCTTAAGAGTACTTAAATCTTCTTTAATCATTTTTTTTTAATTTTGAGAAAAGAGGTATTTCTTTCACAGTTTTCTGCAAATAATTGTATAGGTTCAGTTCCGTATATCTGAATCGATTTTGAAATTTGGATGTTCTGTGTTTAGGAACTCGTAAACATTCAGCACTTCGTGTATTGTAATAGTGGTTGTCTGAATTTACTAGAAATGTATTGATTTCCTGTTTTACATAAAGTAAACATTTGTAGATATACAGGCAGTAGAAAGTTAAAATTTGATGTTTAATAAAAATTGGTGTATAAGATTGTTGATAATCCAAATTACAAATTTTACAGATTTTTTTTTGGGTAATGAACACTTTGTTACTATCTACTGAGTTCCTCCACAAAATTACATTATAACACATGTGGCTGTTAGGAAGGCTATAATAAATGTTCATTAATGCCGAGATGGGTAGTGTGTTTTTAATTCTAGATATAGCATAAAAAGCTTTATTCAATTTCATGTTCACTGAATTCACTTCCTCTGACCATTTGACAATACAATCAATGAACACACCCAAAAACTTTGTAGAGTGAGTGGAAGCTAACATATTGTTTTTATCACGGATGGTTAAGATATAGTCATAGGTAGATGAGTTTTATGAATGAAAATAAATAATTTCTGTCTTGTCAATGTTTAATATTAGACTGTTGGTATTACACCAGCGTATAAAGCAGTCAACAACAGTCTTCATTGTCATTTTTAATTACTCTAGTCTACATGCAGAGACTATTAACGAGGTATCATCAGCAAACATTGATGTGTGGTAAGTGCCCTTATGTGATCTAGTAGGCCGTTAGTAAAACGGATCCCTGTGGTAGTCCTTTATTTGTCATGTATGGTTCTGAGCTTGATTCTTTCATTTTAACAACCTCTTCCTGTCACTTAAGAAATTTATTACCCATTCTAGAAATATCTCTCTAAAACCAACTTTATATAATTTATTGCGAGTAAATGTTATGTTGAAGCAGTCAAAAGCTCGTGATATATCAAAAATAGCCCTGCCACATGGTTTCTAAATTCATTATAAATACTCTCAAACAAGCTGCATGCAGCTGTGAGTGTTGACTTTTTTGATCTAAAGCCGTGTTGGTTTGGAGTTAATAAATTGTATTCTATAAAATTTAACATTCTGTTGTATATTACATAGGAAATTATGCTAAGGACAGATACTGGTCTATAATTTGAAATATCATGAGGGTCATTCTTTTTGAAGATTGAAATATCTTTTGCCATTTTAAATATGGATGGAAATTGGCTGGTTGTTACTTACTTACTTACTTACTTACTCAACAATAATTACTCAATTTCTTCATCTGGTTTGTCAGCTGTTGGTGCATAGACTTGTATTATATTAATATTTCTTAATTGATTTTGCAGCTGTATCATCATGATGCGATCATGGAAAGGAACGAAATTTCTAATACAGTTACGAATTTCTTCTTTGACAATAATTGCGACTCCGTTACGTCTGGATCCTTCTGTCCTTTCCCGAGTGGTAGACAATGTATCCATTGCTCTAGAATATATTTGACCCTAGCCATTTCGTCTCACAGATACCTAGGATAGGAATGTCTATCTGCCCATTTCCAGCTGAATATTGTATAAGTTCGCGCCTTCAAACATAGTTGTCATGTTCCACGTAGCTATCTTGTGGACACGGGGTTTTCGTGGGTTTACGACCTGAGAGGCCCCGTGGTCTGGTTGTGATCTTCCTCCCCTGACGGATCTTGGATTCCGAAGTCTTGAGCATATTTTTGTTTTAATTATAATTTTTAATATTTTGATTTTGAATTATTGTTTCTTATTATCTTTCATGATTGGCCTTTTTTTCTTCTTCTTCCTCTTATCGATCATTCTGTTCCGTTAAAACTCCAAGTTTTCATTAATATTTTTTCTTTCTTTTTATACTTAATTTAATAAACTTAAGTTTTCCTTTTGTGAAATTTAAGGAAGGAACTACTTCTTTTTGATACAGATGTAATTAATATTAATAACAACTAACAATTTTACACACAAATTAACAACCAACAAGAAAAATAAGGTTATTTCGACAAAAATAAAGCAAAGTTGATAGAAACACAATTGACGAGCTTGCGTTCAAAAGGGGCTATATCCATTTGGAAAAAATGTCCAGGAAACGAAAAAAACTTCTTATCGGTTGGC